AGTTATCCAAATGCAGCATGGGATATAGCAATGCAATAACAGAGATTTAAGACTAAGAGCCTGTAAATAAAAAATGTAAACACAGATCAACTGGTTTTTAACTGAGTGAGGAGGAAAACATACTGAGATCATGTTTGTGTGTACACAGTTACTGGCCTCTCCCTGCACAATTTCATAAAACAACAAACCTAATCTATGAGGTGCCTGATGAAAAGGCTTTTATAGCATCTGAACTAATCGGTTAGCTACTACCTGACACACCTGACAGTCACACCTACTTGTTCACCCTGACCGACATACTTACACACACTACAATTAACATTATATTACTCGATTAATCGACTTTACCGATTGACCTTCTTTCTCAAACACTAAAATAAACTGACGCTAACCTCCATCCATCCACTGGAAAAGTTTCATTTCAAGAGATTCATTTCAAAATAAAGTACTACCTGTTTACAAACTCTCCAATTAAAGGGGCTATATGTAAGTTTTTGATTTTAATAAATCAAATTGTCATTGCCTTATTGTCAGTGGGCTCAAAACTCACTCAGAAATGAAGCACACACCTGTTTTCTCCGTTGATTGCATCAGCCAATATTCTTCTTTTAATGTGAGGTCTCCGTGTCGTATTCAGCCCTGTGCGCGCTCACGAGCCTCTCTCAGACTACAGCGACAACACGGCAGCTAACGGCATGCAGTCCACTAACACCATAAAACAACCGGCTCACAGCAAAACACAGGCTCCAGGATACAAAACAACAATAAAGGTTTATGTGCTATCAGACCAAGCTGGAGAAAAACAGAGAAAGTCACGTTAGCTCGCTGGCTAACGCCAAGCAGTTGCTAATGATATCCGGTGCAAAGTTATATGCTTTCCACATTACTTCACCAACTAACGCCACCCATGTTACTATCATGTGTACGACTGTTGATTTAGCATGCAAGAAAGTATGTAACAGCAACAAGCAAATGTGGAGCGATTTGTTTACTAAACGTAGCCTATAGTGATGCAGCCAGGAGCAGCCAGCTAACGCTACAGTAGCTCGGACCTGCCGCCGTTTTCTTCGTAACATTCAGTTTATGTTTATTGTGGTTTTACCGATACTCAAGTACACAGCTTCTCCATCGCTGTAACTAACGTGACCCACACAACATTAAACACTGCAACAAAACGGTCACAACAACCCAGAGGAAGGAAGAGCCATCCACTAACACTAGTTACAGTAAAGTTACTGACTGCGTCTAACTGTTGTAAAGTGTGACACAGTGTCATTATAATATTCAGTCCAGCTCACTAACCGTTTCATTATCATCCAATACATGTAGCTGTGCTGACATTGCTGAGCCTCCAGAGACAGATTCACAGATAGTAAAGATGATTACTGAAAAGAAGCAGGCGAGCTAACGATGATGCAGTAAATGTACTGTGATCATGTAACGAGGATGGATTAGTTCAACCTGCAGCTGATAAAACTATTACTGTAACGTTGCAGTGGGAGTTTACGTGAGTTTCCAGCTCTGTCTGTTCTCCCTGCCTGTCTATAGCCGCTGTCACTCTGCCTTTTTTCGGGAGGATTGTGCCGATATGTGGCTCGCTGCGCTGAATGAAGTAAGGTTACGGAGCCGGTGTTGATCTGCCTCTGAGACGGGAACGTTGAAGTAACAGAGCCTGAACATGTCTGTGTGAAAAGTCACAGACTGCATGCTGGTGTTTCTGTGTTTATTGCAGGATTTCTGTATGACAGTGGTTGTGTTTTGGATTATGCTCGCTCATGACTTCAAGCAAGCACGCGTACGAGCACACGCCTGGTTGCAATCTTAGAACCGCACTGCTAGTGGCCGCCGGAAACTACATAATGCCCTTTTAAATGACAATTCAAACTTCTTTTTTTAAATCGCCTTCCCTGTTTTGTACTTTTACCACTCATTGACACTGTTTTACAAAAAATCTAAATTCTAAAAATATGTTTTTGCAAACCACTTAGACTCCTTCACTCCAGAGAGTACAAACAAGTATAAAGTCACTTAAAGTTGCAAAAAATTACACTAAATGAGAGGCTGCACCCGATTTTACATTCTGGAAGCACTGAGATGTAACTGTTAATACATAACACACATCTTTTATTCAGACTGGCCTTTGTCTCGCCTCATGCTGACTACTGTGTGTGTTTAGGGTCTGTTATTATTATTTTTAGATCTGTTACTTATTTTTATTGTTTATTATTGTTTACTGTTTTAGGATGTTGCTTATGTTTTATTGTTGTTTCTTTACTGTTTTGATATTTATAATATTTTCCTCTTGTAAAGCCCTTTGTGATCTTGATCTGTAAAAGGGGCTTTATGAAAAAATGTTACTTACAAGTTTGGGAACATGAATCCACATTTGGCTTGTCAACAAAATAAACATTTTCTTAAAATCCAATAGCAAATGTGCCTTCTGTCAAACAAAACCTTTCTAGCCGATCAGTATTTCTTTTTCAGTTTACCTTTTCAATGCAAAGGACTTTGGACCTCTGTTTTAAATGAAAATCTACACATAAAATGTATTTTCTCTACTCTAATAGGTTATTGCTTAAGTTAGGATTCAGTCCTTGAAGATCAATGAAGAAAATAACACTGAGGTGTTGGTTGTTGAACAAGTGAAGCAAAGGTTTTCCATAAGTGCATTCAAAAGAAACACAGGAACGAGATATAACTCTGGCACATGTTCACCTGCTACACATGCACACTTGGACACATGGACTGAGCACAGGTTGCACAATACATCTACCTGCCGCAGGCTCACACTTTGCCCTGAGAAAAAATTTGCATAACTCTAAAGAGGGTTCGCAGAGGGTGACAGGTGTGTGAAGGTGAGCATTGTAACACAGAAGAAGGACTGTGGATTTCTCATGGTTTGTTCAGATGTAACTTTTCTCCCCATTTACAGTAGTGAGGATGGGAGCTCCCAATTGTAAATTCCAGTCTCCTTTTGTTGAGTTAATATTCTGATATGAGATCCTGATTTATGCAATATTACAAGTTGCTGAGAAGGAGGGATACTGCTTCACTTTAGTAGCATGTAAGAGCAACGATAGAGGTTAATAAAGTAAAGTAAAAAGTTAAATTTTGTTGAATGCTGATTTTAGCCTACAAACCACTTTAGTTTCAGCAGTTCATGTTTACAGTCCTGCCCATTTTATTTTCTGTCCCGTCTGCTTTTCAGCACGTTACAAAAGTTAGTTTTTCCTTACAAAATCATACCATTACAGTGAAGTTGTGCAAGGAAGAGATCACTTTAATGGCTAGTACGGACAGGAGAAATTTTTACTTTAAAGGCCCTGCACACCAGTGTTGGACAAGTTACTCAGAAACTGTAATAAGTTACAGTCTCAATTCATCCCTTTGATTTAAATATTTGTTTTTGCAAACTTCTGGAAAAAAGCAAGTTTAACTTGTAACTAAGGCAAGCATGATGAGACTTGATCCCATATTTTAATTACTCCCAGTGTATCAGTCTTGTTCTGGGCTTATAACTCATCTAAAGTAACAGCTCTATTCTTATGCTTGCTTGTTTTCATGTGTATGTTTTAATCATCCTCTAAAGTTCTTCTATTTCCCTCCCTTCCTATGGGGATATATATCTATATGATCACACAGTACACTGAGTGGCTGTGTCTGTGTGTGTATATGTAAGCAATAAGACCACACTGATGCCACAGCTCTCATTCATTCTTTAATTACGTCAATATAAAAAAAAAAAAAAAGTGCTGTTTGGAAATACCATTTCCTATTAAGTCCTCAATTTAAATGAACAAGCAAAAAAAAGACTAAAATAATTTATGATACAATAACAAAAATATTTACATTTTTAAAAAAAAATCTGTACAATATTTATATCAGAAAAACATTACAGGCCAGACTGCAGCCAGGAGGAGGTAGGTTTTATCATGCTAAGAAAAAAAATAAAAAATTCATCCCTGCTTTCTTGTTAAAACCTCTGAATCTTAACTTCAGAAGGCAGTTCTTTGTGACTGAAGCTCTACAAAAATTAACAAAACATTTGAGACATTTGGAAGAAAAAACAAGCGAAAGCTTCCCTGAAAAACGGGTTCATGTTAGAAGCAGACGAAGTTTTAACAAGACAGCAACATAATCAAAAAAGGAAACAAGAGCCCCTTTCCCACTGCATACTACCAGCTCAACTTGACTCTCCTATGTTTGGTTTTCCATTGCGGAAAACTTGTACCTGTACCTGCTTCCAGGTACTTTTTTTCGTATCACCTCCGTTGAGGTTCCAAGCGTGCTGAGGCGATACTAAAATGTGACATGAAAACACAGCAGACTGCTGATTGGTCAGAGAGAATCGTCACTATTCACTGCATCATCATTGCGCACGCCAGACAGAGGCCAGCAACAGAAAGTTTTATATTTTACAGTTTTTCCATGTAATTTCATCACTAAATCCTCGACTGAGAAGTTTTGAGGTGAGAAATCAACAGAGGAGACTTCGAATATTGACAGTTTTACGAAGCGTGATGGCGGAAAAAATGTGTGCTTGAAAGTTTTCGGAGTTGAGGAGCTCCCGAGGCCGGCCAGCTGCCCGCTCACAGAGCCCTCTGCAGCAACAACAGCAGAGGAAAACACAGCTGGAAGGTTTTCATACCGCTTATCTGTCTTTACATTCTGAGTAATGTTGAAACGTTTTAACTTAAATAAAGAGAAAGCTGTGTGGATCGCTAATGTGTGTGTGTCGCATTGAACTTTACTTCGCAGCAGTTGTGTGTGGCGTCGCTATGACGACTAGCTACATTGAGGGGTACTATCTCTGGGTACTATCTGCAATGGAAAACGGAGCACGGCCAAACCGAGTCGAGGCGAGCTGGTAATGGAACAGAATGCATCTAAAGACAGAACAGGATTTTACCGTTAAAATACCAAAACACCTCATTATTCCAACCAGGGTCTGTTCAAGTACACCGAGACTGAAGGAAGAATTGTTAATTAAAAACACAAAATAACAGAATGCATTTTAAGAAATTAACACAAATAAGCTAATGTTTACCATTTGCACAGTTCATTACAATCAGAACATTAACATTGGCAACAATTGACAACAGACTTTAGAGTAACCCCATTGATGTTATCAACTTCCGATCCAGCCCAGAGTACAACTTCAACAAAACACCTGATAGTAATTAGATATAACAGGCTCCTTGTGAATATGTACAGCCTTAAATGTTTACCTTTTTTAAATATTCCTTGGTGTCACTGCTCTCCTCCATAGCTATTGTGTTGGGCACAGAACATTGAAGGCAATCCATCTTTTAAAAAACGGGAATGTTGGTCAGTGGCCCTCATTCCTCAACATGTCAAATCTTATTTTACACTGGGCAATATTTTTTGTCATCATAGGCTTAAGATCTCCTGTCACATCTGCTGAGAAAGCGTGATCGCTCTGTAAGTAAATTACAGTATATTCATCCTCATAATGTGATGAAGCTCAGCCTTTTAGTTTTAAAAAGGACTTTAAATGAGCTACAATTTCTCGCTTTACACCTGCTAGAGGATCAAACACAGAACCTCGAGGGCCACTGACTAATAGATCAGTGACATTTAAGCAATTTCCACTGGATTAATAGTCATCTAACAATAAAGATGTCGACCATTTTTCTTAATTTACACTTATCAAAATGGTTGCTCTATAAGCCGCGGTACTAAATGTCACAGTAGCGCTGCTGTGGCAGCTTCCTCCGACCAGAACCTTTAAATTAACATGTCAGGACACCATCGGTCTGTCACTCTGTTTCAAACATGCAACAATCAAACATTATCCAGAGGTTTTCCATCCCGACTTTGGCTGATTTGCTACGACAGCACAGCTCACAGTTCAGTTCACTTTCCAGTTCAGTCTCCTCAAAACCTGAATGCTGTTTAATATGGCTACCACTGAGCTTGAACAGTTTATTAATGACAAATACTTAAATACACAAAGTAATTAAGCGCGCACACACACACACACACACACACACACACACACACACACAGAAGTGAGTGAACTAGTGGTGAACTGAACTGAGACTGAGCATTGTTATGTCTACAGTATCAAACCTGGTCTATACAGTACTGTCATTAACAACATTAACCTGATAGAGTGATGTTGGGCCCAAGGGTCCGCCTGAGGCCAAACAAGGCTGAAAGCACACTGAAGAACCTTTTTCGCGATCAACAAAATTAAAATAGCACAAGATTTGGAATTCAACTTGAACTGACAGAAGTGCAGTTGGCCAAATAACTCCAAAGCCACCATCATCACCTGTCAGATGGAGGGATCACTGGTTAGTATGGCTATAAGACATCCTGAAAACACAATATTCAAGTTTCATTTAACTACTGAGCAAATGTGGCTTCTAGTTATTTGAGCCAACAGGTGCCTTGTGTTATTTTGCCTGTGCCCTTTGGCATCCCCAAAGTAAAGACTCACAATTCTGATGAAATAAACAAAAATAACAAAAAAAAAAAAAGTATTGTTCTTGTCTTCAGTGTGCATTCAGCCAAACAAAATATAATAAATTCTGCTCCCTCCTCCCTCATTTCAACTTTAAAAAGCATCATACACTACAACAGTCAGCAGTCAAGGCATGAGAATGATCAGTTCTGAGGCAATGAGTGTGTTGTTTCAGACCATGGCAACAGTTGCAGGTGTGAGTCTATACAGAGATATTGTTACCATAAAGTCCTTGAAATGAAAATAATTTGTGCGTCCTTTTCAGCATGACGCACCATTCTTTATCCTGCCCATCCATCTGCCTTTGTACAAAGTCTCTTCCCTAATCCACCTTTGCTCCTCACATTGTCTCTAAACACCTAAAAATGCAGCCCATGGTTTGCCCCTGGTCCATTAGCTGCGGAGCTGCTCTAGCCTGGCTTTCAGGTCTTCCTGTTTGGCTCTAAGTTTGTCCCTCTTTGATTGCAGTCTGTGGCCCTCATCTTCCAGACCATAGATACAGTCTCGAGCCTTCTTCAGGATCACCACCTTGGATGCCTTGTCATTGTGCGAGAGCTCGGGCACGTTGTCCCGCAGGCGCATGAAGCAGTTCTTCAGCTCATTGCGCCGCTGCCGCTCCATCACATTGTGCGTCCGCCGCCGCTCCTCCTCATCCTCAGTCTCTGTCGAGTTCCGGGACGAGTGGTGATGATACCGTGACGAGGATGAAGATGAAGAAGAGCTGCGAGAAGAGTGGTGGTAGCGCGATGAGCTATCACTCCCTCTTGAGCGCTTGTTGGATGAAGAAGAGGATGAAGGAGGCGGTGAGGCGGGACAGGGTGCTGCATAGTTGTGTTGCAGCTGGATCTCAAAGTGGTGACGCTGGAGAGTTCGCTGCTCTTCTTCCTTCTTCTGCTGACGGACAGACAGGTCAGCCGATGAGGGCACAGGGGAGGGGCTGGAGGGACAGCGCACCACAGTCACCACGTCAATTTCCTCCTCTGTCAGAGAGAAGAGAAAAAGAACAGAGAGAGGAGGTTGGATGAGTTTTCTCGCACAACATGTTTTCTGACCCTTGTGGTAATTTTATCTGCTCTGCGAAAGTGTAAAGACATTTCAGCGGCGCACTGGCAGCAAAAGGAAAAAGAAAAAAAGTGTCGCCACTGTACATAACACACCAATGTGGCTCTCACACACACGCGAAACCAGTCAGTGGTGAAAATCTTTCCTTCTACTGTAAACAGCCATAAACGTGCAGAAGCTTAGAGTTACAGTTGTAAGCCGTAACTCTGTTAATGAATGAAGGCAGTTCAAGATCACAGCAACAGTTACATACATGTTTAAACATTAGTTACAGTTTCTGTGCCCTGAAATGTACAATAAAGTATTTCTAGTTAAACTGAAGCATGCCATCTACAATTAAATTTCAAAAGACTATATTAAAACCTAAATCCAAAATTTAGGAAGAAAATCCCATGCCCACCTGCCTCTTCCTCTCTGGTTTATTGCCAGGGCTGCAAAGCCAGAGGGCTCGAGTCGGTAAAATGACTCATTACGAGTTAATGGATTGAACCGCAAATGTTACCGCTGAACATGAGTCACACACACACACACACACACACACACACACACACACACACCCTTACAGTTAATTCCATCTCCTAAAACCTCTCATCTACTCATGTCAGTCAACAGATTAAACCCCGCCCACGCTGCAACAACATCCTCGTCTTCATGGGTTCTGCAGATTACAGGTGGGCGTCTAGATAAGCGGAGTGCAAATAACAATCTGGCTCAGTGCCACTAAACATTAACAGTGAATTATCAATTAAATGCCAGAGAAGCAATTCTGAGCAAGGAGTGTTTATACTGATAAGCTGCATAATAACAAAGCAGGAATGAGATTGAAGTCTGATATGATATATCAGAAACATCAAGAAAAATCCATACTAGTCTAAAAGGGCAGATTTTTGTTAAAAATGTGATCCTAACGGGATCAAAGATTAATTACTACAACATTCATCAATCATTCTGGCTAAATTTAAAGTGGAAATGAGGATTAGGTCTGAACTCACCAGAGTCACTGGAGGAATAGTTGGACATCTCGCCACCGGTTGATCCGTAATCTGATGTGGCCTCGCTGGGCTCCTGAGTGTCCATCAGGTTCTGGCAGTCCAGTGTGGAGCCGGCGATCTCCTCAAAGATGCTGGTGTTGATGTCAGACAGCAGCGGGCTGGAGCCAAGCATCGTGGAGACCAGCTTCTCCTCCAGGCTCTTGTCTGCTACCAGGCACTGCCACAGGCAGTCCTCACCACTCTCCTCCAGCGGGGAGCAGGGCTGGCTGGGCTCGCCCTCCTTCTCACCAGCATCGGAGTGGAAGAAGTCGCAGTTCCAGTTGAGCTGCATGTCATGATCCTCCAACAGGATGTCCGACACGTAGCTCAGTTGGTCCTCTTTGGACAGGGGCTTAGTGCCGCCCACCCCGGCCTTCATAGGGGGGGACTGCGGCGGTGTTGGCAGCGACTGGAGGTCCTTCATTAAACTCTGGCAGAACTCATCGTCAAACAGCAGCGGCTCAGAATAAAGCCAGTCCTGCGACTGAGCGAAGCTTTGCAACATGTTTGATTGTAGAATCTGGGAGAACAAAAAAAAAAAAAACAGGACAAAAAAAAAAAATCAGAGAGGTAGTGGAGCGTGTTAGGTTTAGATCCAGAGAAGCTGAGCCAGTAGTGTGTTTAAAGCAGCGCCTAAAAAGGGTAAATCCCAGCAGCAACACCAACACGTGCTGTAGTGAAAGTTTAAACCAGTTTCTGTAGACTGAGACCCTGACTGACAGTGTGCCACTTTTTATCTGTGTTTACATCACCGTAGCCCCGCCCCACCGCTCCACAGGAGGCCCTAAATCACCCAAAAAGATTAAAGATGCCCCTCCCCATGACATCATAGAACAGCTGGGAGAGAGTGGGGCAGAAACTTTACCCTTTTTCCACAATTTAAAATTTTCCTTCTCAGAAAGTTAATTTAAACCCCCTCCCCAGCAAATGGAGCCCGGCTGCCTGCTGACATGGAAAAGAAAACCTTAAGAGAAGGGATGGGTGGCTTGCCTTTGATTTCTCTTTTGTTACTCAACACTTAAAACCTCTGCTGCTATTTCACACACATGACTGATGACTGAACACTTCAGACTCCCTGCAGGAAATCCAAGACCATCTCACAGCTTCATACAGAGAATACAAAACCTAACGTTATTTATCTTAGCACAAAGCATTTATCATTTAAATAAGCCCCAAGGATCTGGTAACACTAACCAGTTAGGACATGCTTGGTTTTTAGTAAACAGTCAATTAATCATAAAATACTTTATACACCCATTACTGCAAAATGTTATTTAAAAAGAAAATCTATTGTCTAATTAAACAAACGTGTAAAAGTAGACCGACTGAGAAGCAGCCCTACTTGGTGAGGGGGTGGGGTGTCCTATAATATGGCTATGGTATGTGTATGTATAGCAGGCTGTGCTGGAGAACAAAGCAACAGTGTGTGTGGTGCAGACAGGCTCTGGGAGTTAAAGGCTGCCTTTCTTTACCATCTTAGCTTGGAGAAACCTGAGCCAAAAACTTAAATACACAACAGTCTGCGTCGTCACAAGACAGGAAAATTAACTGATAGATATTCCCTAGATAGACATTTCCCTACTCAACACTAAACGACTATCATCATCATTATTATTATTATGAACTATTACACATTAATTCATGCAAAACTCCCGGCGACTAAGTACAGCAACCGAAGAATATGAAAAAATAGTAAAATTTGTAAAAATGATTTTGAATGCAGATCCGCTGAAGCGTCATTATTTCCCGTTAGGTCTTGCTGGCTGCATGCTTTTGCACCAGACTTATATTAAAAGTGCACAGATATTTAACCAAATTTCACAGCTGCTCATTTCCTTCAAAAAAAACAAACAAAAAAAAACCTCAACAAGCATGCAACACGCCTTGTATCTGTCCTAGCTCAGTGTTTCCGTGTGAAAGAAGTCAGTCGATACACCGCAAAAGCTCAAAGTCCTTAAAATAATGTCTAATGGTTAACCCGCTGCAAGGGTCATTTAAACCCGCATGGGTTGAGCAACGCCGGGTCTCCACGTGAAACCGGCATTTTTTTCCCTTTACTTTACCGCTTTAAATGACATGAAACGCAAAATTACGATTAAGAAATGCACAAAGGCACAATTTAACATCCAGCCATGAGGTGACTAACGTCCCATGTGTTAAGTTAGATAACATTAGGTTTGTCCCGCATGCAGCTGCCCCTTACCTTTAACTATCTTTACAGAAGGGAAATTCAAAATGAAGAAAAATCGATGAAAACGTCCAAAATATCCAATAAAATCCCCACTGAGATATTAAAAAAACTATAATGTTCTGCTTGTGTGGAATTTTCTGCGTGTAAAATTAAAGTTAGAACAGGGCAGCATGGTGTTAATATCTAGTCTATAGTCAGCTCCTTCTTCTGCTCCGCTCCCGGCAGACAGAGTAGGTGTGGCTGTCGGGCTCGCTCGAATTATATGTCCGCTACGACGGCGTCTTCCGCCAGACCAAAATCGCGCCAAAACATAAAGACCGTCAACAACTCGTTAACGGCAATCCAATTTATCGCCAGTATATCCGCAGTCGGTTCCCGTTTTGATCAAGTCCGGGCGGAGAAAGCGGGGACGGCGGCGAGTACGGTTAATTTTGCATTGAAGTTGGGGTCTATTTGTCTTGGCCGCGGAGTGATACGCTCAGGCTGGGATTCCTGGAAAATCGTGGCGGGTAAAGTGGGACAGAATGGACAGACAACACGTGGACTGAGGGCAGAAGCCGGGTGTCTCTCTACATGCCTGTCTGTCTGTCTACTTGTCTGTCGCTCTCGGGATTTCGAGCCCCAAATACAATTTAAAGCTCTTTTAGTTTTTGTTTTATAAAGGTGCAATCAGAACATGAATCTAATAAAAGATGCCTACAGGGACAGTGGTCCATGTTAACATTCATGTATGATTCATGGCGCATAATATAAACTAACTTTCTCAGTCATTAGTGGGGAATGTATGTATTTTCAACCTCTCTAACTGTAAGTATGTAGTATTATCACAGAGAGAGACAGACAGACATTGAATGCTTTAACAGCCACGTTGCCTTCCAAGTCCAACTCTTGCAGGGATATTTCACCATCCATCTGTCCCCAGCTCCTCCTACTTCTAGCCTACATTTAAAGCTGCCACTACTACTACTACTACTACAACAACTAAAACTACAAGCCATCTCCAAGATGTCATCCACTGAACTGTCTCTATTGCACTTTCACCTTATGCACAACTAAGTTTTCGTACACTTTATTATATATATATATATATATATATATATATATCAATTTTTGTTGTGAATTTAAGTTTTTTATTTCTTCCACACACACATTTTACAGTGCTCAGATTGTATCTAGGCTCCTCACCTTTCAAAATATGTTGTTTGTTTTCCTATCATGCACATTATTCCCCTGTATTTTTTTCTTTTAACAATACAAAAGTTAAACAAAATTTGAAATAAAATAAAAATATATCTCATTCATAAACAGTTCACATGAAACTAAAACGGATAAAATGAAGGGATATTTAATATATATATATATGCTATATAAATAATAGTAGGCTAAGTGGGTGAAAGGACTGTGCACTGAGATGAATGAACTCCAAACATCCACAGTTTGATACCGCAGCCCTCCTTCCTCCTCCTCCTCCTCCTCCTTTTACCCCCCATACCGCTCCTCTGGTTGCACTGCACGTTACATAACGGACAAGGCTTCGCCGGTACACGTGCGGAGGCGGCGGCCAATCAGATGCGAGTCAGCCTCGGTTCACGTGAGTTCTCGGCAGGGAATCTTGAAATAGGAGCTCACAGTCCTCACTCCGACCATATACATGCATTTTACATTCATATCTTAAATATAGCCTACTCACACGCCTATTTAAATATGATATTTTCACATGAGAAGGTCCAGTTGGTGGCAGTCTGACAGATTTATATAAAAATACATACTTTATAGCCTATTTACAATGTCTATATTATTTTTGATATATATATATATATCTTTCAGTAATAGCCACTGCTAATTTATGTTAAAAATGGTAAAACAAAACAAAACTATGCATGAAGTGTGGTCCACACATAACAAAAGGCTAGTTAATTAAGCCCCATTTCACCCTGTGTATCTTCATACATGTAAATAAACAGCTCCTGCATGTTTATTGTTATTCATGCCTGCCTTTTATTCATGCATTCTGCACTTTTAGGGATAATCACAACCTTGCTGGGAGTCTGTCATATGGAAACTATTTTTGCTGAGTGTAAATGCACACCACATTTCCACAAATGAAGGGGGAAATGCTTCATAATCCTACAAAGAAAAAAAACCCTTGGCTTTTGGCTAAATTTTTGGGAAAATCTGCTGTTTCATCTGTCTGTAGCAGCCGATTTAGGGCGGATCACAGCAGCAGAACACAGCAGAACAGCAGTCCAAACACACAAAGAAGGGAGATCTGGAAGTGAATAAGCGGGTTGATGTGCCACCTACAGGCCAACTGTGGCAAACTGACTGACTGGCCTGGTTTCAGCTCTGAATACCAAACCTCCTGGCTGACTGACTGACTCACTCACTGGTTTATTTTCTGACTAACTGGTTAATTCTGGGATTTCCGAATTGTGTCATATAAATCCCACTACAAACAGATATGTAATTCATTTAAATAATTTAACTTTTGTTAAATTCACTGCTTCAACTGATCTTTTATCATCAGCTGAGCAATAAATACATGTTTGTCGTTAAAATTGCCCATTACAACCTTTCCATATAAGGTAAATGAATATACCACAGGATTTTGGGTTTAACTCTCAAGCATGTAACTTTTCAGAAACACATCTATCTCCGATACTTAAGTGTTTGAGATGAATCACAGGTCTTTGTCCTGCTTTAAAAAAGGCTTTCCATGTTAATGATGATGATGAGCATCCACTCACCTTACAACACCCCACATGTAATCTAAGGTTAAGTTCATTTAATGCAGTGGGTTTTACATCAGAACAATTATTGAACAAACTATTAAGTTAATATTACATTAACTCATCAGCAGGGAAATATTTTGTTCTTATATTCCAGATGTGGTTCCACATATGCCAGCCCAGTATCCTAAAAATTATGTGCATGTTGCACAGTTCTGCATCCCACCATTTAAAATAGGATGCTATAAAACCACTACATGGTTACAAAGGCAATTTTATAACCTGGTGTCCCTGTCTTAGTATAGAATCAGAGAGTGGACGTAACTCCAGGACTCTGCAGTGAAACAGTCCTAACTCCATAACTTCCATCTCTCCTCGAAGCCAGATTCCCATTGGACGTGCGTTGTGGATGTCAACTTATTTGAGGTCAAATTTAAATTTAGTCAAACCTTTTCTGCACAGCCTCAGAGTATGCATGCTACTTTGAGAGAGAGTGCAGTCGCTCTCTGCGTTGGAAATGATGGCTTTGCTCTGCACAATGTTCACACTTCGGCTTTTGGTGTGAAATCCCTGTGAGGACCGTGGACTCCACTTCTGTAACCTTTGAACTCAGGACTGGCTGACTCATTGTCAAATTGCCTGACGGACTCACCTAATTTGTTAAAATGCTGATCAGCTGACTGGTTTCTATTAGGGTGACAGTATTGACCTCTTCACCGGTAGCTGACTGACTGAAAAACACTTAATTTGCAGACTGCCTAGTGACACACTGTTTTGGTTATGACGTAAATGGCACCTTTTGCACTAATATTTAAATCATTACAGGAAAAACATCTGCATAGGAGAAACTGCCAAATGTTGTAAATGTAAAATAAATTCTGATAATATCCACGATTCAACCACATTTTTAAAATGTCAAATAATCTTTGCTTGGGATGTGATTAAAATCACCATTTGACTGAGCTTCAGATCAGTTGGAGCTGCCAAATACTATGACAAATATCGGATTTTTAAAAGACCTTATACAGGACGTTTCTGAAAGACGCCATCATGTAGTTTGAGCTGGTAATCTACAGAAACCCTAACAAACGTGGTTGTAAATTTGCAAACGTGGTCCCACAGCCTAGTTAGATGCTTAATGTCTTCTAGTTTCTTCCATGTTCAAATGGTAAAAATGCTGTGTGGGGTGAGGGGGTAAAAGGTTAATTACCTAACTGACTGACCGACAAACCAACTGACTGGTTGACTGGCCCAGTGAACTTCATGGCATAAGAAAGCTAATAGGACACACACACAGCCGAAGCCCCAGGGGGGAGAGACAGCCTGGGAATGGGATTATCGCTTTGTGTGTGTGTGTGTGCCCACTGCTGTGATCTCCTCCTTATTAGGACTCTTTATCCTGCAGTGTGTCTCTGTGCAGACAGACAGACAGGCTGCTGCAGCCTGTCTGTCTGTCTGCTTTAATTAGACGGTAGCAGCTACTAAATAAGCTCTCAAACACACACACACACACGCTGAAGAGAGTAGTTCTCAAACTCCAGCCAGGTGTTGATGGACAGACTTTGGGTAGATTAATTTGTATAGAGAGATAAAATAAATCTTCTTTAGGTGTTTTAAAGATAAAAAAGGTTAGTCCTGTCATCTGTTCCGTTTACTTCTCTGAGTTTATTAATTTATCAGTTAGGAATCTGTTATGTAGTCTATGTTATTGTTTCTGTTTGCTAGGTGTCATTTATGTCCTCTGCTAGTTTCATTAATCTGTTTTTTGTTCATTCTGCTTTAGTATCTGGGTGGCCTTTATTATTATTCATCCGCATCTTTAAGTTACTTAGTATCTGTCTTGTCTCTTATCTTAGTTCCTTGTTCTTTGTCTTAGTTCTCGGTCTTGTGCCTTAGTGTTTATTTCTGGCCTGTGAACTTCTGTGTTGTTTTGCCCAGGTCTACTCTGAGTTCTGTTTTATCTTAGCTTCAGTCTGTGTTCCTTGTTGGTGTTAGTTGTGATCTGTCTGCTTGTGTCTGAGTTAGTTTATTTTTATCATTCTGATCTGTTAAGTCTTATTTTGTGCAGTACCTTCCTACATAGTTTTCTAAACCTGACAAGAGGATTGAGTGGTCGACAGTATCAAAGGCAACAGTGAGTTCTATGAGCACCGGGATGGCAGAGACTCCTGAATCAACAGTCAACATCAAGTCATTAAAAACTCAGATGCCTTTATTTGTAAGGTTTTTTAGTTCAAACGCACAAATGAACAG